GGAAGTTTCTAAAAAATTACAAATATGAGGTATCATAGACATGTAGATCGTGACCCTTTCTTTGTAGCCTACTGTTGATTTTAAAATGATTCAAAGGCCTGCACTGGCCGCCGACCTCAATTTCAAAATATACATATCAGTTTCTGGGGAGGGGTGTGAGTGTATGAGTGGGATGGTATGGGAGGTGTATTTTCTGACGTTTGAATGAAATGAATTAGGCAGAAAATAAGCTCCCATAATAATTGTAAAGACCGCCTTTAAGGCGGGGTTTATAAGTAGTATATATAGAGTAATTTTACATTAAATCATCAGTCTACGGCGTGTCACAACGTGTGCAGGCAGCCCGCCCCCCCCCACCCTAGTTATCAACTATGCTTTCACTATTGTTGTTATATCGTTTTAACGCTACTGTTATTTGTTCCTTAATTCACCAAAAGTTAGGGGATAGCTGAATGCTGTATACAAGAAAAAGAGCTACAGTCTACAAGGATATACTGTCTAAACTATAATTGTTATTATTAATGTTTTTTTTGTTGTGTACTTTTCTCAGTTAATTTATAGGTCAAGTTTCTGTGTTGTGTTGATGTTTGTTGTTCTTAGAGCCAGAGGATGTGGTCAAGGTTTTTTCCACCTCATGTATAAAAAAAAAAAAAAAAAAAAAAAAAAAAAAAAAGCATGAGGTGGGTTTTTTCCTGGGGTTGCTTTGGGACCAAGCGCCTCAAATTATACAAGCTCCGACCGGGTCCCCTTCCTCCTGACTCTTATGTATTCGATTACTGTGTTATTACTGTTGATTTTAAAATGATTCAAAGGCCTGCACTGGCCGCCGACCTCAATTTCAAAATATGCATATCAGTTTCTGGGGAGGGGTGTGAGTGTATGAGTGGGATGGTATGGGAGCAGCACATTCCTGTGGTTTAAGAAGAATGTGCTGCTGCAAAATGTGCTGCTAACTTCAATGGAGTCATTGCAATCTGTGAAAAGGAGGTGACAAGTAAAAAAATAAGTAAATGGTCTAGCCCCAAATATTCTCATTGCCAATGTTGCGACAGGAATGTGTGAAATGGAACCATGGCAAAACTCAAATGAACAGAACTTTAACAGAACTTAGAACAGATTAAAAGCATGCAATTATATAAACAGTTACTGACATAATTACACAATGTCTGCACAATCATAAATTATAATAATAACAAAAAACTGAAATCCCTAGCAGTAAAGGAAGTAATAATTATAATTTTTAAAAAATCATAATAATACATGAAAATAATTATGACAACAATTATACTGACACAACTAAAGTAATATATGTAACAATAACAGAGTAACTTTAGTCTAAAAGCCCTCATTCAGCTCATGCATGACCATTGCCACTCCTGCTACTACCAGGTTGAGTATCCATTTTCATTGGCTCTTCTTTTCTCTCATTTTTTCTTTTTTTAATTTTTTCTAGAGCTCGCCTACATGACCTTCCAGCTCGCCTACATAACATTCCAAGTCCATCCCCAGAGAGCACTAGCAACTCAAAAAAATTAATGATATTCACTCCAATAAATAAACCTAGCAGACCACCAATCTCTCCTAGCAGAGCTTCTATACCGTATGTGTATTTAGTAGTTGTGGTGGTTACTTGAAAATCATCAAAAAATACATCAATGGACAAAAAATTGTCCTTGACATATTCAGCAGACATGTTTAATTCCTCCATTAGTAATTGCAGGTATTGTCCATTAGGGAAACTGGAATAGCTAGCAGTATGCTCATAATATTCAAAGTGGCATGGTAGAGGACAGTCAATTTCTTCAGGGTGAAACCTGTAGTGCTCTTGCAATAGACAGCATGCTTTACTAAATGTACAATTAGGAGTGGATGCGTAAAGACCAGGAGACCTATCAGGTTGAATGACACAGTTACATTTACTTCCTCTTGCTATATTTTCAGCAACAGCATTTTCTCTGCAGGCAAATTGAGAATATTGAAATTTGTCACTTGGAAAAAAAGGAAGATTCATGTCATCAATACATTTAGCTTCACTTGTCTCATCTCGTGTGGCCATTTTGCGTACTCCAACATCAACAGCAAAACCAGGTGGTACAGAAATACCATACAAGCTAGGCCTTGCAATATCTTTGCCATCGTGAATAACAAGCTTAACTCCCAACTTTCCACTGAACGATGGCCTTTCCTCTTGTTGTATATTCAGTACTAGCTTTAAACCATATCTTCTACCAGTGCTATTAGCAAGTTTATTAGTTCCATTAAATGTGAAGCAGATTCCAGCTGAGGTTAGTACTGGTTCAAATAAATCCTTGCACATCACGACGTCACTGTCAGCTCCATGCAAAAAGCCACAGTAATGTATAAACTCATTTACTGCCATTTCTGGACTTACAATATCCCATATTGTAGCATTTTGAATGCTATTTGAAAGAGAAGCAGTACATGTGTTAAGCAAATGGTCAATTTTTTTATTACTAGTAAATTGAGAGCTTTTATCTGCATTGTAAAGAGAGATAATAGCTTGATAAGTGGTATTTAGAAGAAAATCCGAATCATTCTTTTTCAAGTTGAGATTGCAGATGGTGACAGCTGGGAAGGGTAACCCAGTTTTGTCGTGAGACACAACAGTGATAGTAGACGCTGTTGGTTTGTCTACAAATCGCTTAGTGCTCAGGCCAATTAATACCAGGCAGCCTAAAACACATCCAGTAAAAAATAATGCCCATATTACCATTATTATTTTTTCAGGATTAGTGAGGCCAGATCTAGTTCGATCATCCTTCTTTGTCCGCTCGGGAAACACATGGCTTAATCCAGCAATGGTAATTTTCTTCTTGAAATACTTACTAACTTTGTCATAAGCATGGCCAGCACCATCAGAACACATTTCTACAAAAAAAGAAATGATGTAGGTATAATATCAAGTTGACAACTATGAACTGACTTGCTGCAGTGACGAGAGAGCGTGAACTGGAGAGCTCAGAGTCGAGAGATTTGCAGGACAACTGAAATGAACTTAAATAATTACCGGTAGACTATATATAACTTGAATAGGTCTAGTCTCAATGAATAATAAAAATTATTAATGATTCATCATAACAAGCGTAACAGTGTAAAAATGTTCCTATAATTGTTTTCACCACCTTGCAAGTACAGCTGGGTTCTTATTAAGACTTATGAAGGTTCTCTCTACCTTCTAATGCTTCCAGAAAAGACTTTAGACAGTATCTCTATGTTCTTTCGCTGTTAGAATGCTCATAACTTTGTCCCATGTGCAAACCACCATTTTGTTTGCCGTGACCACACCCACTTACGTAGCGTGGGCGGGTGGTTGCTAAGGCTTGTTATTTCTCCAATACAACATGTATAGAAGAAATGAAGTGTTGACATACAATCAAATACCGGTATATATATCGCACAAACTATGAAAATTGTTTTCTTATTTCAAAAATAGCTTTCTCCCAGGGATAAAATGATAATCTTTTAAACCTAAAAAGGAATGTCAAAAATTATTATCTATAAAAGGATTTTAATTAATAAACTTTGATAACAAGTAAGGAAACAAGTAAATAAAATTCTATTAGGTCTAAATAAGAAAAAGTAGGGTTGTCAAAAAATAAAAGAAACAAGGGGGTTGAGTTCAATAATAATAATAATTAATAGTTCATTATTAATATTAATTTAGTAACAAAAAATAATTTTTATAAAAATAATACAAAAATTTTAACCCTACTTTGCAGAAAATGATAATAGGCAGACTACAATATGAAATAAATGTAAATATAATCTTAAAAATATCCCTCTGTACCTCTTGATTGCTCTACTACATTGCAATGATGTAATTAATAATGATTATTGTGATAAATATAAATTAGCCTTTTCAGCTAGTATTAATTGATTGAATAAGTTAATGTCACCAAAATTAAAGCATCCAAATTATTAACAATTAATTTGCTACTGCCTTCTTTAATTTTTGTGATTCAGTATATAAAATTAAAATATTAATCTATAGATACTTGTTAGAAATCGTCATTGGACTCACCACGCTTGTGTAGGCTGGAACTAAGTAGTTGGGTTGTCATTCTTTCATTAAAATTTGTCATATTAAAGGAATTAATACTCCTTTATAAAATTATGCAAAGTAAGGTTGAAATTTTCATATTGTTTTTATGAACAATTATTTTTTATTACTATTATTAATCAAACTACTAATTATTATCTCAACCCCATTGTTGCTTTCATTTTTTGACAATCCTATACTTTTTCTTATTTGATAGAAATTTTTATTTATTATTATTTTATATCTCCAAAAAGGAGGGTCTTCACATTGACAGGAAATAGTGATGAAGTGGAGGAGTAGAATAATTTACAGTTTATAGCCAGCTAGCTGTCATTTAACGGAACAGAACATTAATGCCACACTGTACTGGCAAGAGAGTTGTACCATTGTAAAAGCAATATGCAGTAGTCTATTATGTGAATTTACACTAGCATGCTTATTGCTACACATGCATGGCTATTGGTGTACAGAAATGTAATGTCATGTACTGGTAAGTGGCGGTAACTATACAAATTAAGTACAAAAAAACTCATGATTGGGAGGCAGGAAAACAATATTCCATGAAATGCTTTGCAGAGAGAGGGAGGGAGAGAAAAACATGATGGAACCACAAAACACATCCCTAAAGAACATGGGCAAAACAAAAAATTTTTGGTATACTCAGTATTAATGGTAAGAGTGATAAAATTAATGAGTACAGTGTGATACTGTTCAGCAAATAAGTTATTTCCAAACAAATAGGAAAACCATGCATTGCATCTTGTCTGAGCATTGTTCAATAGACCAAATAAAAGAGCAGATTGACTGTAACGGACGGTAAACCGTAATGAAAAGAAGACAGAGGATACTTCATATGCACATTGCATGCATGCATTCCCTTTATTATGTCACACTCACTTAGTAGAAAATAGTGATAAAGTTGCATGAGCTAGGAAGGAATTTAAAAAAATTAATAGTAATAAAAGTGGAGGAGTATACATAACTACTACATTGTAGTTCCTTATAGGGCATGGGAGTTGTACCATTGTAAAAACAATTTTGGTAACAGATATACTGTGCATTGTACACAGAACTACTGATCTATCATGTGAACTGCTATCAGTGGAATTCCTTATTCTTGTTTGTCTCATAACTCTTATTTTATAACTCTAGGGCTGAGAATTGTTTGGGTGATGATTTGACCTTTTGATGTATAGATCTAGAGACATGCTGAAATAATATGTAAAATATGCAATAAGCATTGCTTCACTCTTCCCCCCTCTTTTTTTCACAGAACTGGTGAGCTAACAAATAGACTAGCCTCAGACACTGCTGTCATTTAAAGTGCTATCACTTAGAATGTCACAACATTATCTCATTACCCAACAACCAATCATATCAGTTGGTGTCAAGTTCTGAATTAATGCACCTCTCATTTCTGTCCTACTCTCAGTATTCCCTCTCATTGCAGCATTTACTATGGTATGAACCACAATAAATTTTAATCCCAATGAATATCATTAATGTAGTAACAGCCGGAATGTGTCTCATGAACAATAAAATAATAATATCACACTGATCATGCATAATAATGATGTTATCTACATCTACATGTACATGTGTAGTTTTGCTGAAGAGAGGCAGCAATCATTCATGTCGATGTTGACCACACACAGGAAATCTGCATCCAAATTTTTGATTCATCTGTACCCCAATAAGAGTAACAATTAATAGTTTACTTAATTTTAAAGCTATTTTTTTTTAAAAAAGATTGCAAAATACCTAGTAGCAGCAGACCTTACTATCTTATGTACTAAGAAAATATCAATAATCCAACAAAAATCAGAGTGATTATTATACATGATGTACATGCATGTGTACATTGTATGTTTTTTTTTAACTTTTTAAAATTTTATGATACCTTTCTCATCAGTGTCAACTCCTATTACTGGTATATTAAATAATGAATTATTATCTGACCATAACATATCTGGATGGTCTTCTGTGGGCTATGTCTCATGTGCTTCCTTCAGTTCATTTTCAGTGTCTGCATGAGTATTCTTATTGAGTTTCTTCAGTTCCAGTACCTTCCGGACCTCTCTAATAGATCAGCACACTCAGCAAATTCAATCTTAACAATGGCCAGTTCCTACAGGAGCCTCTCAACATCAAGAGAGTCTGCTGGTGAGGTTTCTGGGAGTGCTGTCAAAGTTTCTTCCTCAGCAGTTGTGGATACCTACATGTACATGTACAGTCCATATGTAAAGGAAAATGGACTATATAACATTACTCTAACTACACAATGTAATATACAATCAAGAGTAAATAATACTTAAAGATACAAATCATACATTTTTTAACGACCTGGGGGCGAAGCCCCCAGGTCGTTCCTATATTTGTTTTCCCCGCCACGCGATGTATGTATATATATTTATTTGTATGTCCACACTTTCATTTCTTCTATACACGTTGTATTGGAGAAATAACAAGCCTTAGCAACCACCCGCCCACGCTCCTTTACGTGAGTGGGTGTGGTCACGGCAAACAAAATGGCGGCTTACACATGGGACAAAGTTAAGAGCTTTCTAACAGCAAGAGAGCATAGAGATACCGTCTAAGCACTTCTCTAGAAGCATTATATGGTAGAGAGAACCTCTATAAGTCTTAATAATGACCAAGTTGTACTTGCAAGGTGGTGAAATCAATTATAGGAATATTTTTTACCCTGTTACGCTTGTTTGAAATACAACCTAAGAAGTCTAATGATTGCATTACTGTACAAGATGACTTACTGACGGGAGTAATATTTGGCAAATTTGCCTGTGGAAAGAAATTGGCGGATTTTATAGTGGCAATTTTGTGCCATGTGCCATTGAGCATGCTCAGTTTGAAACAAAATGGCAAATTCTATATTGGTGATTTCTTCATAGAACCGCCAATCGTCAATATTTATTCCTCGCCAATAAATCATCTTGTATGGTACACGTATTGACAAATGTATCATGAATTTTTATGAATTGTTTATTTCAGAAAAATTGTACACTAAAAATGGACATGCACATCTAATCTATTTTACCACAACATGTATTATACTGTGTACATGTAAGTTTATACATGTACATGTGCATGTACATTTAATTTTAATGATGCTATTAAAAGAGGATTGTCTCATTCCCTCTCATTCAGTATCACACCCTCTACCTGTGAGTTCTGTTCTTTATTTCCTTCTTCAATTGAAACCAGTAATGAGGTGGAGGCTGTTGAGAAGTGTTTTCTAATGATAGAGCAGATGTGCATTCTGTCTCTAAAATCTATTAAGATGACGGAGGAGACAAATATTTCATTTGATGGACTTTCAGGAGTATTTGCCCAAAATTACTAGAGTCAAGAGAGAGAGAGAGGGAGATAGAGAGAAAATGAAGATGATAAAGTGCGATAAACCAGAGATACATACTGTACACTAAATGCAACCCAAAATTTGTGAATTTCAATTACATGTACATGTGCATTATTCTTGCAATAATAATAGATGTACATGTATAATTATTCAATTACATTGTGTACATGGTTGTTTTGTGATTCCTCTTTCTTCTCAAAGGATGGCACTTTCTTTCTTAAAGTAGTCAATTCTCTTCTAACACTATACACCTCCTCGTATTCCTGGGCTCTGGTCACTTGCCCCTTAATTTAATATAATAAATGAATAAAATAAATAAAAAAATATTAATGCAATTTTAACCTTGTACTTGTATTAGACGATCAGCCAAAGCTGCACATTCCTTCTCTAGAGCTAAAACTTGTTTTTCTAACTTGTAACTGTCATCTTGGAGTCACTAAAAAATTAAGTGATTATCACATGAAAGTCATGTGATCTCGAGCAAGGTCATGTGACGTGTTTTGCTTACAATTAATTTGGAGTTTTTTACTTGTTGCCTTTTCATCAATTGATTGTACTTAATTTTCTCCATCCTAGAAATAAAATACATGTAAGGTGATCTTTTTCTTCTCACTCTCTTTCTCCTTTACTTTTCCTTTTTCTTGTTACTTTTTCAGTTTTTTAAAGATGCTTTCATCCTCAAAAAGAGCATCACAGCCTTCCTCCGATAAAAACTTATTTCTTTTTGAAAGTGCTATAAAAATACAATGTACATGAAAATAAAACTTTCATTACATTTTTGAATGTATTGATGCATTTATACCATGTAAAATGTTTGAGCCAATTCCGACTTAAATTTTTTGAGTTATGAACATTTTAAGAAATTTGCCAAAATCTAAAAAAATGCCCAAGGCTATAGCCCATGTTTTTTCAAAAAAATGGCTAAAAAATCACCCCAAATTTTTATTAAATTTTCTAATACATATGGATGTCCTTATGCTATGTAGAAAGTTTGAGCCAATTCCGGCTTAATTTTTTGAGTTATGAACATTTTAAGAAATTTGCCAAAATCTAAAAAATGCCCAAGGCTATATAGCCCATGCTTTTTTCAGAAAAATGGCTTAAAAATCACCCCCAATTTTTATTAAATTTTCTAATACACATTGATGTCCTTATGCTATGTAGAAATTTTGAGCCAATTTCAACTTAATTTTTTTGAGTTATGAGCATTTTAAAAAATTTGCCAAAATCTGAAAAATTTGCAAGGCTATAGCCCAGTAAAAAGAGAACGAAGCCCTCAAACAAATTTATTATAAATAAAGAAAAGAAATAAAACATGTAGGTTAAGGAAAAGCAAAACAAGGTTAAAAATATGTTAGGTTAAGTTAGAGACAAAAAAAGGAAATGACAAGGAAATAATAATAATAATAAAATAGCCCATGCTTTTTTCCAAAAAATGGCTAAAAAATTATCCCCATTTTTTATTAAATTTTCTGATACATATCGATGTCCTAATGCTATGCAGAAAGTTTGAGCCAATTTTGACTTAAACTTTTTGAGTTTTGAGCATTTTTAAAACCAATAATTACATGTACTGTTTAACTAGCTTCAATAACACTCAGTTTTTACATTTTGTTAACATAATAACAACAATAATATTATTACTTTGGTCATGTCTTCCATGTCTAACTTCAAGAGTTTGCTTTGACCTTCCCTCCAGTAGTGCAAGACCAACACGGAATATTACTTTAATCCCATCTATCAGGAATACAAGGTATGTCTTGTATACAAAATGCAGCATACTAGTGGAGAGTGAAGGCATGCAAAGAGAGCCAGGAACCAGGAACTAGAGTACATTGAAGTATGGAAACCCTAAAATAAATAAAATAAATGAAATAATAATAAATTAATAATTGTAGCTAGTAACATATACACACTGTACATCAATACAAGTACATGTAAATTAAGTTAGTAAAATCACTAAAGAGAGGACGTGGAAATGTACATTGTACACAATGTAGTTTTACCAAAAGAACACCTTTAATTTAATATCTCATTACTGCATGTATACTTGTATCTATGGTCTGACTATGCATATACATAGTCTCGCATTAGTCAGGTGGAGCCTGAATCATGGGTCAGGCTCCACACGAGACTGGTATAAAAATATATACATTCACTACTGTACTGCTGTACTGTGCTAATTTTAAAAAATTACCGACTAATGCTCTGTGAAATGAATGTCCAATCTTGGAAATAATTCCTAACAAAATATGAAATATGTCACTCAATCATTCTTAATCCTTTTCCTCACCTCAACCAGAAGTTCTCACCACGCCCCTCTAAATTTTCTAGACTAGCACTGTGTATTAAATAAGGCTATACTATACTTTGTTGAAGTTTACGTAAGCGAAGGGGCGGGGTGAGACTACATTCTTCTTGTAATGTTTTGTTTTACTTAATAAGAGAAAAGACTCCAGAGAGAAAAGTTAGAGAGAAATAGGAAGAAGCACAATTATATAACTGATCAAGTGATCATAGTTTACAGGAAGTACATTCCATGCACTACATTACAATAACACAATAATGATAACAATAATACAATAATAATACATGTAATGATGATTAAAATAAGATCGATACATTACACTTTTAAATCAATTTTGTTGCATTCATGTATGCACTAGTTTTTTGGCTCTGATTAAGCCAGGGACGTCTCTTATTCAGTCAGGGGGCGTCTCTGATTCAGCCGGGGGCATCTCTGATTCAGCCGGGGGCGTCTCTGATTCAGTTGGGGGCATCTCTGATTCAGCCGGGGGCGTCCCTGATTCAATCGAGGGTATGTGTGCGATAGTCAGGCAGAATGAATTAGAATTTGATTTAGCTGACCCTCCTAAATTGGTCTTTTTTCTTTTTAGCTGAAAACAATTTTTGAGTCCATCCACACAGAGCATTAGCAGCTCAAAAAAATTAATGATATTCACTCCAATAAATAAACCTAGTAGACCACCAATCTCTCCCAGCAGAGCTTCTACACCATATGTGTATTTAGTAGTTGTTGTAGTTACTTGAAAATCATCAAAAAAAACATCAATGGACAAATAATTGTCCTTGAAATATTCAGCAGACATGTTTAATTCCTCCATTAGTAATTGCAGGTATTGTCCATTAGGAAAACTGGAAAAACTAGCAGTATGCTCATAATATTGAAAGTTGCATGGCAGAGGACAGTTGATTTTTTCAGGGGGTGAAACGTGTATTGCTCCTGCAATAGACAACATGCTTTACTAAATGTACAGTTAGGAGTGGATGTGTAAAAACCAGGAGGCCTATCAGGTTGAACGACACAGTTGCATTTGCTTCTTTTTGCTATATTTTCAGCAACAGCATTTGCCCTGCAAGCAAATTGAGAATACTCAAATTTGTCACTTGGAAAAAAAGGAAGATTCATGCCATCGATACATTTAGCTTCATTTGTCTCATCTCGTGTGATCACTTTGCGTACTCCAACATCAACAGCAATACCAGGTGGTACAGTAAGACCATACAGGTTAGGCCTTGCAATATCTCTGCCATCATGAACGACAAGCTTAACTCCCAACTTTCCATTGAAAGATGGCCTTTCCTTCTTTTGTACATCCAGCACTAGCTTTAGACCATATCTTATACCAGTGCTATTAGCAAGCTTATTAGTGCCATTAAATGTGAAGCAGATTCCAGCTGAGGTTAGTACTGGCTCAAATAAATCCTTGCACAACACAACGTCACTGTCGGCTCCATGCAAAAAGCCACAGTATTGTATTAACTCATTTACTGCCCTGTCCGGATTTACAATATCCCATATTGTAGCATTTTGAATACTATTTGAATGAGGAGCTGTACATGTGTTTAGCAAGTGGTTCTTTTTTTTAGTACTATTAAATTGATAGCTTTTATCTGGATTGTAAAGAAAGTTCATAGCTTGATAAGTGGTATTTAGAAGAAAATCTGAATCATTCTTTTTCAAGTTGAGATTGCAGATGGTGACAGCTGGGAAGGGTAACCCACTTTCATGACTAGACACAACAGTGATAGTAGATGCTGTTGGTTTGTCTCCAAATCGCTTAATGCTGAGGCCAATTAATACTAGGCAGCCTAAAACACATCCAATAAAAAATAAAACCCATATTACCCTCCTTTTTTTTTTGACTGAAGCACATGTTTTAACCAAGTAACGGTGATTTTTTTGGATAGATCTACATCCTTGAAGCAACTAGTAGATTTAGGATCTGCGTGATCCGAAGAACTCATTCTTTTTATGTAGGCAAACAGTTAACAACCTTGAGCCAAAATAAATATCTTGCTATTAAGGCCGTCCCGCTGTTGTCAAATTATAATAGTACTATGAGATGATAGACTAATTATAATCATATCAAAAAGGGGAGGGATATGATGATATGATCATAATGAATGCAGGAAATAGTGATCAAGTGGAGGAGTAGAATAATTTACAGTTTATAACAGCCAGCTAGCTGTCATTCAACGGAACAGAACAGTCCAATAACATTACTGCTACATTGTACTTCTCCTATGGTAGGTAGGGGAGTTGTACCATTGACATTGTAAAAGCAATGTACCAGGATATCCCTGATCTTAGAGTGAACACAACATGCTTATTGCTACATCATGTATTTCTCAGTGACTACCCTCCTCTCTCTCTGCACAACATTTCATGTCATATTGCTTTCCTGCCTCCCAATCATAAGTTTTTTGTACTTTATTTGTAAAGTTACATGAAATCTCATTTCTGTACACCAATAGCCATGCATGTGAACCACAAAACTCATCCCTAGAGAACATGGGCAGAACAAGAAAGTTTTGATAATAATAGTAAGAGTAATGAATGGGTATAGATCTACAGTGTGATATTGCATAGCAAATAAGTCACATTCAAACAAATAGGAAAACCATGCATGCATTGCATGGCATAAATGATTGCTGCCTCTCTTCAGCAGAACTACATGTACATGTAGATAACATCATGATATTAGTGTGATATATAATAATTATATAGTTCATGAGGCATCCAGACCCCCGTTAACTAGATTAGTGATATTCATTGGGATTAAAAAGTTATTTTCATTCATACCATAATAAATGCTGCAATGAGAGGAAATACTGAGAGTATAGGACAGCAGTGAGACATACATTAATCCAAAACATGATGCCCATTGATATGATTTGTTTTTGTGTAACGAGCTAGTATTGAGACATTCTATAGTGAGAGCATTTCAAATGACAACAGGGTCTGAGGCTAGTCTATTAGTTAGCTCACCGATTCTGTGAAAAAGAGGGAAGGGAAGAGAGAAGCAATGC